TTTGTTTGCATTATTTTTTTTCCCTAACAAAAAATTATAAGCAAATAAGTATCTTCTTTAAAAAAAATAAAATATACATTTCGTTTTTGCAATTTTTCTTTTAAAAGAAAAACTTTGTTGTAAATAAGTTTTTTTAAATAATAAAAAGAACATTTTTATAAAGAAATTTTATCCTAAAAAAGGTTGACATTTATCATTAATATTTTTTTCATAAAAAATTTCCTATGACAGAGATTGGAGAATTCGATAGGTCGATTCCCTAATATCCTTGAGGCGATGAATTTATTTTGGGAGGCCAAAATTTTCTTAATGGCTTTAGGCCACTCATAATTATTGTTCATTATGTGCCTTAAGAATAATGATCAATAAAGTATGAGACATTTAAAAAGAAAAATAATTTTTTTTAATCGAAGGCCATTTTATTGAAAATAACATGAGAAAATAAATTACTATTCATTGAACGAGTGTTGTGGGGGTGCTAATACCTTCCCCATACACAAAAGACCTCCGAACCTAACTCTTTTTGTGCAGATCAACTTATCAATGCATTTTGAGTGGTCAGTCACACCCTATAAATAAAGACTGGTGGCGACTCCATTTTTTCTCCTCTTAAGAAAAAAGTCGGCTGCTCTATGTTGCAAACTCGTAGCGACTGTTTGGCGACTCCATTGGGGACTTCATATTTTAAGCAGGTCAAATTTATTTTTTTGTGTTATTTTCTATATATGGCCTTACTTTATTTTTATTTTGACACACATGCACACGAGCCTCCTACTCGGGCTTTACCTCTAAGTTAGAATTGATGATGAGTAGTAGTGACCTTCGTGGAGTATTGGGCTCCCGTGTAGGCACATGAAAACCCTCACTCAGGTCGACCTTAATTAGGAGGCTGATAAGGGTGCCTTTATTTATTCCTGGATGAGAAAAAAATGGACGATAACTTGGGGACCTTTATCCTTTAGAACATTGAGACCGTAAGAACCCATTTGTTGTTCATTTCTAAAAGTGGAAAAAATATATATTTATTGGAATTGTTGGAGTTAATAAGGACATTTTGGTCTTTTTGGAAAAGAAAAAAGAAGAAGAAATGATGTATTTGTGTGGGTTTGGAAAGGGAGAGAAAGTGATTCAAGGGTGTGGGACCCACTTGTAAGATAATATGAGAGAGAAAAAGGTGGGTTTTTAATGAAGAGAGAGAATAAGTTATAAAATTGGATTTATGGGGAATTTGGATAATTGATTTATTTTGAAGTTATTGTGATTAATTTGGAATTAGTTTATGTTGGAATTAAGTGAAATAATTTGGTATTAAATCGATATTTCAGGTAAGACAGAAATTGGAGTTGCTTACGACCGAATTTGAAGGATTTGTGAGTGGTTACTTTATCAAACGTTTTTAGATATTGATTATAGAATTTCTGAGAAATTACATATATTACGTATGATTTAGCATTTTTGCTGAGAATGAAAAAAATATGTTTGTTCGAGAAATTAGAAATGTTTCTGAGAATTTAGAAATGCTTTATGATTCCAAAGAAATGTTCGAGAAAGTTATGAAATGTTACTTAGAAAGAGATTTCAGAAAACGATTTTAGAATTTCATGAAATGTTCTTAGAAAGAAAGATTTTAAAAATGATTTGAGAAAGAAAAAAAAGTTCTTAGAAAGAAGAAAAGAAGAATTTTAGAACAGTTTATGAGATTGAGAAAGAAGTTTTCAAACCACCATGCTATTGATGTGTTTCTATAGTATACCCAGAAATAGAAGGTCTTTATGACCATTTTACTCCACGTGTTGAGAGAATTATTCTGCTATGCGTATTGAGATTACTCTATGCTAGTAGATCAGAATTATTCTGCTGTGTGTATTAAGATTACTCTATGCCAATAGACAAGAATAAAATATGGATACATGTGTGGTGTTGAGTTTTATCTATCTGTTTTATGATTGAAGAAGAATGTTTTATATGATTTAGAATGTGTTTTAGAGCAGGTTCAGAAGTTGGCGTAACTAGGTCGCATGAGAATGCAGGGGCGATTAGGGCCAACTCCGGATCCGAATCCTGGTTCGAATCCTGGACTTAGGAGCGTTGTCTTTTCAGTTTGCGTAGAAAGAAAAGTGTTGTTACAAGTTTGATTTTGAGAAGTTTACTGAGTTTTATGAAATGTATAATGTTGCTCCAGGTTTACTCGAGTTTTATGGAATTTAAATGAGAATGTTTATTACTTCAGTTTTACGAAGTTTGTTTTAAGAACTGAATTTTTAGTTGTTTATGAAAGAAAGTTGACGAAGTTATTTTCTTATTAACTTACCACTCACTGAGCTTCCAAGCTCACTGTTTATGTTTTGTTTTTCCCCTAGACTGTATATGAGTTTTTGAGTCACAAGGAGAATTTAGTTCAGCTTCTGCCACCCAGAGTAGTTGAGAATTTGCATATCACTCTGTACGTACATGTATTTGCTGTAAAATTGTTATCATTCTTTTGATAGAAGAGAATGTTTAGAATGGATGTGAGATTGATTGTTCTGTTACGATTATTATTTTATTGTGCATCCATTCGGAGTTTGTTAGTCAAATATCAAGTTAAAGTTAAGAAGAAAGTTGACCATGGATTTTGTACCTAGTCGGGGTCTGTGGTCGACGCGACTCGTTCTGGGACTAGTAGGTGTTTTAGGATGGGTCGTGTTAGAGACTAACCATATCTAATATTCATACATATCTGTCTGTGTATTATTATTATGTGATTGCCTATATCTGTGATTATAATTTTTCCTTATTGTTTTTTCTCTTTTCTTTTTCTCTTTCATGTTTGTTTTTTTCCTCAGAATCTTTATTTTCTCATAACCTCAGACACATGCTCATATTTGGTCGTCAAACATAATTAAAAAACAAAACTTCAATTTTTATTATTTGGAATTTTGATCACTTTCAGACAGATCTAGTACTTGGGTTAGGATGGAGGGAAATCCAAATGCCACTATTGATGGTCAGAGGAGATGCAAACAAAAAAAGGGAGCAATCCATCAAAACATGTCTCAGTTGAACTCCCAACGACCAATGTTTTTAGCGCTCAAAATGTAAGCCAATTGAAAGAGATTGGGGAGAGATTTACACCACAATAGAAGCTCGCATTTATAAATAAGTACAGGCACATGGCAAATTTGTTATATATACAGGTCGATGTGAATGTCTAGGCAGCTGCGCTCTACTTCTAGGATCCAGCTTATAAATGTTTCAAGTTCAACTCCATCTATATGACTCCCACCATTGAAGAGTATCAAGAGTTTCTTTGAATGCCTACTGTGTTTGAAACCAAAGATGTGAATGTCTAGCAGCTGCACTCTACTTTTGTTGGGACTTTCTCTACCTTAAGAAGATAAGAGATACATGCAAGAATATACGGTCACAAGTAATACTCGGAAGTAATCCAAGGTCGAATCCTTAGGGACTTTTGCTTTAAAATGAACTTATGACGTGAAATGGTTCAAGATGCAATTGATGTTTATGGAAAAAAAATGACGATAAAAGTTATTGTCTTATGATTGCAAATGTCAAGCTTTTTTTTATAGAACACAACACTTCTGCTTCCTACCTTAGTATTGATAGAAAATATGGAAGATACACTTTGAGAAAAAAGTGTCAGCCACTATCTGGCTAATTCTAGAAATCTGAGTTCTACTCTTTCACAAACTGCTTTTGGTTGCTGCAGAACCTAGGGTAACCTACAATCATATTTTTATGTGTGATTACAATCCTAGAATGTATTTATCAACTCATTTGCATTTATGGGTCATAGGGCCTATTTCTAGGATCGTGGTTTATGCGCTTATGTCTAAGTAATATCCCATATTAGTTTCCTATTATTTTACCTAACATAACATTTTCAGTGTTGGGCTTTAGTATATAAATCAGTTTCCCAGTGGCCAAATGGAAAAAAGATGTAAAAAGAAGTTTTTAGAAACCAACCCAAAATTGCGTCAGACGCTTTCTGGGCGTTTTTTTGACCGTGTTAAAATTAAATCATTTTGGCTAAGGCATTCCACAGAGTGGTTGAAACTAAATTAGTGTATAATTAAAGGAAAGAAATCACATGAAAACATAAGAAAAATAATTTCCATTAAATTAAAATGAATAATAACGTCTTACAAGGAGATCTAGCTTAACCTTCTTCTTCTTCGAGCTTGAAGGGAGTTTAAACTCGCTTAAGAACTTTAAAGGAACAAAATAAATGAAGAACAATGGAAAGAACTTGAATTAAATGAAGAACAACAAGTAGAGTTTCAAAAATACAAGTAAACAACAACTAGAAAAATAACTCCAACGAATTCTAGGCTAGAAAACGAAAGCTACAACTAAGAGTAAATAAATTTGAGAGCAAATGAGAATGATGAACTGCTGGGGGAAAGCTCCCTTAAATAGGATTCCAAAGTTATTGAACTCCCCACCAAAATAGGAGGAAACAAGTTGTGATCTTCCAAACAAACTTAAATTGACTTGGACTGGGCTGTTTCCGATCCACCTAACCACTTGTGAATTGACTTTCATGCCCTCTATAAGTGAAATGCACGTTTTGAGAATTTTTGCCAAATTATGCCAGACGCAATTTTCCTGCACATGAGAAAAAAATATGAGTTTCTTCTAATTTTGACTACGTTTTTCTTCCATTTTTCTCAAAATACCATATATTGCAAATTACCCATAAATGTTCTCTGCATGTTATATTTTAAGAATATGTTAACACTTTTAATTAAAACTGAAGGGAAAGAGTTCGTTTTTATGGTCAAACATGCCTAAATAGAACACATTTGTGCAACAAAAAGTCAACCTTAACATATTTTTATGATAAAAGATTGACTGGTAAGAAGGTTATGAAGCTAGCTGGAAATGTAGCTGCTAGCGAGATGAAGCATCAAATCAAGAGCAAAGGCGACAATGTCGAAATATTATTGGATTATCTCATAACTCTCGTTCAACAATATAATGGTGAAGAGCAAGCTTGGAGCTCTTTTCATTGTGCATGTTCGAGACTATTCTGTTTCCAAATCTTCATGGATACATAGATATGAATGTTGTCAAGTTGTTCCTCCAAACTCAACATGGCATTAATCCGATTGTATCCATTCTTACTGAAACCATACGTTTGTTGGATTTTTGCAAAATTCATCAGAAAGGTAGATTTATAGTTTGCACTCTTCTACTATATGTATGGTTGACGAGTCATCTAAAGTGCCCACCAGAATTTGGTTAGCCACACGTAAAATTCTAAAGATCATGGAATGCTGGAAGAATTCCAATTGTTGAATTTAGGATAGCATCCTGGAGTGATGTTAGAAAGATAAAAATTGAAAAGCACAGCGATTCCACCAAACTAAAGTACAAGTCATGGTACGAAGCTCATTGAGCAGTGCATACAGTTAAGAAAAGGAAGAGGGATGAAGATGAGCAGATGACGTCTATCCAACTGCAGACGGTAGATGAGAGTACCAACCTAAAGGAAGAAAACTTGTTGCTCCACCAAAAGAATGAATAACTGCTATAGGAAGTGAATCAGTAGAAACAACAAACCATAAAGGCAGAGAGGGACTTGACAGAAATAAGAAAATTGCTACATAATCAGATTAAGCTTGAGATGGAGAATCGGGAGTTAGACCTTGAAAATATACAGCTCTATAAAAAAGTCGGAGCCATGAAAGGAAGGATAGTCGTTTTACGAAAATAAAAAGATGCAGGAATTACCATCTTGGAGAATAGCATTGCATCTTTTCAACAACTTGTTTCTGAGTTAAATACAATGATCGAAGCTCATACTCAAAAAGTGGTTGAATCTGAAGGTAGCAACAATGCATTACGCATGACCATCGAAAATCTGGAATATTGGATTCATAAATATCAAGATTCTGTAGCAAGAAAATTATCAGAACACAGAGAATTGGTGGGAAAATATGAGTTGTTTATAAATAATGAAGCAAATTAAGTGAGTCTACAACAAGAAAACCAGGGTTTAATTCAGAGTTGTGAAGGCATGAGAGCTCGGATAGGCAGCGCGGCAGAAAGAATAAGGTTAGTGGCTAGAAGAGCTGGGATATTTGCAGAGTGGGGAGCTGAGCGTAGAAAAAACATCTTATCACTACAATCAAATGGGGAAGAGTTAAAAGACTTTTTAGTTGCCTTATGTAGGGAACTTTTCCTTTTTAATCGTTTCTTGTAGAACATTGACAATTATTCCTAAGTATTTTAGATTC